GGGGGGGGGGGTAGGGGGACAGCCAAAAATTGTTTTGGCTTGGGGCAGCAAAAAACCTAGAGCTGGCCCTGCTTGTGACCGAACTAGAGCCAATCTCCGAGAAGGGCCCGTGGAGTCAGAGGGCAGACATGGACCTAACCCTCCCCAAAGCCCTCGTGGGGGTCGGAGCCGGTGCTCTGGTTCGAGGTTTGGGGGAGGTTCAGAGGGTGGTGATGGAAGCTGTCTGCCAGCGCTAGCCTGGGGCGGGGGAGGGTCAAGCTGCTGCTCAGAATTCAGGGAAGGTTCTGATACCCCCAGAAAGCCCCGTGTAGCTCCCAGTGTTAACCCTCCTGTCTGGTGGCCGCTGTCCAGGACGCTACCCCCCGGAGGCCATGTAATGTCACGGTGTCTGAGCTGCGTGGACTTGGACCCCAGGCGGTGGGTCTGGGCTCTGCCTTACTGCGTGTGCTCTGCTCAGTGCTCTACACACAGCATTGCTCGGCTCTGTGTCCTGCTGCCTGTGGTAATGCCTCTCTGCTCCTCTTGTGCTGGGTGCTCTGGCTGTCCCTGCCTCGCACCGCTCCGCCCAGGTTCCCAGGCAGTCCCGGTAACAGGACTGTATCTTCCCGCTGCAGAGACGCACACGGTGGAGCTGGATTGCAAAGCGAGCAATCCAGATAGATAGATTCGACTGTCAGTGCCTGGTCTCTGGTTTTCACGTCTGCTTCTTTCTTTTAGCTGGGCTCTAGCTGGGCTCCAGCTTCTCTAACAGACGCTCAGTCTCTCTGCTCCTGGCACTTACCCAAGGCTCTGTTTTGCCCTGGGTGCTGGAGGCTAGCAAAGATCACTTCGACTGGCAGCAGAAGGCCCTTTGTGCACAGCTGCCCTCTGCGGCTGTGCAGGGAGTTGGAGGATTGAGGGGGCTCGGGCAGGTCCCCCTGGAGCTTGAGGGGCTGGCCTGTGCACAGCTGGACGCTGGCAGCCTCATTCTTGCTGTATCTCGGGGTTCTCTTGGGGCCAAGGGTTGTGAGGGACGTAGCCTCTCCCTGGAGCAGTGTGGCTCAGTGTCCGGCGCTGCGTTAACGAACGTGGACTGGGGAGTTCCCACCATGGCAGTGACGGTAGGAGAGGGGATGTGGTGTCTGCCTGGCCCATTGCAGCTCACCAGCGCTGGCAGCTTTGGAGTCTGCCTGTTGGATAGCTGTTCAGAGCCCGCAGCTGCCTCCACCGCCACGCTGAGCAAACCAGGGGTCGTTGTCCAGGTGTCCTGTGTGTGGCAGTCACTGCACTGCAGCCTGCCTCTCCTGGCTCCTTCGGGGACCCCCGCCAGTGACCCCCCATTCTGAGCCCCCTCTTCTTCTCACGGGAATATCCGGGCTGCAGTATCCACGTGTCCGCTTGAGGGGGTGCCTCTACTTTTCCTCACTGATGAAAATGCAGCCTTCGCAGGAGGGTCTGTCACTGAGAACCCCGCTGGGATGGCCAGGAAGCACTGCTAGGCCAAGGGACCAGTGACTATGTGAAGGTTGGACAGCAGGGCTGGTCGAGAACCTTGGGAAGGGGATTCCCGGGGAGGTTGCTGTCTAGCTGTAGTGACTTGCCAGATTTCGGACCATAATGCTGCTGATTGGATCCTCATGCTCTTTACTTCCTCCTTCAGTCATCACTTGATGTTGTCAGCCACGCTCTCAAGAACGTGTAGAGCTAGACGTGACCGTTCTGCCTCCTGCAGCTCTAGCGCTCTGGGGCCGATCAGCTGCCGAAGCCCTGTTGTGATTGCTGTAGGAGCGAAGCCAGGTGGCCATGGGGAGAACGTGATCTGCACGACCTGAATCACCGAACTAACCAGAGCTGAAAGCATTTGGTGGGACTGGTGTGCGGATACGTCCGGAGCAGTGCATGGGTCTTGGTCCTGCGAGCAGGCAGTTCAGTTCCTGTTGTGTCTGTTACCTGGGATTGGGTAACTAACGGATACAGGAATTAGCATCACTGGTGCATGAGTGGTGCTGGTCTGGGGAGATGTTCCCAGGCCCTGAAGGGTTAAGTATTTGGGCTAGACCATTACAGCTGGATTCTTTGACCCAGCTTCTCCAGATTCAGACGGGCTTTGCAAAGCACCTTTCAAGTGTGTTACCAGATTTGCCCATTACTTTGGAGTATGCTCATTTATTCGGGTTACTTTTCTGGGGAAGGGGATTCTGTAATCCTGTCAATGTACTGCTTGTGTCACTTGTGTTTTCATATGGAGCTCGACTTCTCCCTTCTGCAAGTCCCCTCCCAGTGGAGCTATCCTGCAGGACCTAGGTTCCCCAGGGCTGGGTTACTCCAGCCCCAGATCCGGATGAACACACCCACACCCACACATACATTAACAGAGCAAGTCTGAGCGGACTGGGTCAATCAGCACTGTCAAGCTGACCCCTTATATGTCTCTGGACTCACTGGGCTGGAGGAAGCAGCACTTTCAAGCTGTCTCCCCTTATATGCCCCTGGGCTCCGTGGACTGGGTCAAGCAGCACTTTCAAGCTGTTACCCTTATGCGTCCCAGATTCAGCACGTCCCTGTCCCCACTCTCACATCACAATTGTACTGGCAGTAACCCACTTGATGAGCAAACCCCACAGTATTTTGGGCGCTGCAGGGATCTTTAGCTTAGGTAAAAGAAGCGTTGCTGTAGAGTGAATGGGGGAAGCTAAAACACAAACAAGTAAAGTTCAGCAAGAGAGAGAGAAGCAACCAACTTAACCATAAAAGTTATTTATTGAATAATAGTGATAACTACACAAGGACTAAACCAACATAACATACATGACTAAAGGTTAATACCTAAGGTAGACAGGAAAACGAAGAGAGAGAGAGAAAGAGGTGGGGTCTCACCGCTCCCTGAAGCTTGAACTGGTCGGGGTTCCCAGATGATGGTGGTAGCTGAGGGTCCTGAGGGCAAGAGGCAGGCAGAGTCCCCAGCACGATCAGTCAGGAGAAGATGGATTCCCAGTGGAACTGATGCCTAGTTTGGATCTAAGCATCAGAACCCTGACTAGAGGGTGAGTAGGGATTTTTGTAGAGAAAATACAATGGTTGAAGGGAGAACACTAGATTTGTTTATAGGTAAGCTGATGACTCAAGGGTTTTCTTTAGACTAGACAATAGGAGCTGATCACTCTTGGCTATGGGTGGTGTTTTCTTCCAGGGAGCTCACAATGCAACTAGGCTACTTCAGTATTTAGATATCAGTAAAGGATTTATGACTAGAATTGGTCTGATAATTGCTGAGCTGGGTGTGTGCAGGCATAGGTTCATTAACATCTGGAGCAGAGATTCCCATGATGCAGTGCTTCCCTGCTTTTTCTGGTCCCAGAATTCAGTGTAGTTCTCTGTTCTCCATTCTGTATGTAAATTGAGATGGCTTCCTGTCCCATCTTTCATGCAGGAAGAGTTGTCCCAAGGGGAGTTGTCTCTGCTCTCCAGTCTGTATGCTAATGGAGATGTCTTAATCTTGTCACCCTTGTCAGGAGGGGTCTAGGTGTGTCTCCCAGCGCCCTTCACTGCTCTCTGCAAGTCTTTTCTCTGATGGGTTTTGGTTTAAGCAGAGGCTGGGGGGTGTCTTTCATGAGTCAGGCTGGATACTGCACCCTGGTTCCCCAAGAACACAGGTGTCTGGTATCAAGTGGGAGGTGCCCCCAAGTGCTAGCTGCAGAGTTCAAGGCATGGGGACATGGTGTGGTGTTGCTGTGGCAGCCAGCCAGGGGTGGTTGGTGGTGACAGATGTGGATGAATTGAATAATTCGCCTTTTCACCCATAGATCTTTGAGTGCTTTGCAGAGGCAGGTAAGTATCATCCACGTTTTACAGATGGGAAACTGAGGCACGGAGTCTCTCTAGAACCCAGGTCTCCTGGCTACCAGCCCAGTGCCCTGTCCACATGGCAAATCACAGGAAAGCTTGACTTGAGTATCGGTTGCTGTCGACTGAACTGTGGAATCGTCTCCCGAGGGAAGCAGTGGAAGCCCCTTGCTTAGCCCGCGTGCCGTGCTCGTGTGTTCCCACGGGGCGCTGCCTGGAGCAGGGCTTGAGGCACTAGCTTCAGTGACTCTCCCTGGGATGTAGCCTCTAAACTGCTGTTTCGCCGTGTGTGTTTCAGGCTCTCCCGTTGCTGAGTTTCCGGGATGCAGGCCCAGTCTGTGCTCCACAGCGGCTACTTCCACCCTGTGCTGCGCTCCTGGCAGACCTCGGCCACGGCCTTCGATGCCTCTAACCTCCTCTACCCCATCTTTGTCACGTAAGTGAGGGCTGGAGCCTGTCCAGCCCCAGGCTGAGGCTGTGCTCCCAGCTGGGGAGGCGAGAGGAGATCTCTCGGGGAATGTGCAGACAGACCTCTGGGAAGCAGCTTCCTTGCTTCGGCAGCGGCTCCCGGCTGGTGTGCAACCCCTGAGTCTGGAGACCACCCGCCTAGGGACGTGGGAGCTGCCGTCCTGAGCAGAGCCATGGTCCCTCTACAGCAGCGTCCTGCCTTTGGCTGAGTGTGCACTGGGTGGGGAAGGGCAGGGCTCCTGCCCCGCTGCTCTGAATCCCCATCGCTGCGGAAGTGGCCATGGGCATGTCACCCCGTAGTAACCTCTGTACGTCGAGGGGAAGCTGCTCACTGCCACCCTTCCCTGGATCTGAACCAGCTTGTCGTTTGTGACCAGCCTGGCGCCGCCCCGGGGCGGTTTCCTAACCCTCCCAGAAACGCCAGGGCAGCTGAGCTGAGGTGTCCGTCCTGGGGCGGCAGAGCCAGTCTGCATGCACTGCCCAGCTGGGGCGGTTTCTGATGTGGCCTATGGGATGCTGGCGGGCTTAGAGCTGTACGTCCCCTCCTGAGCGGGCTGTGTTTGAATGAGGCCGTGAGCCCTGTGGAATCTGGTCTGACAAAGTGGTGATTTTCCCTTGTTATGTTGTATGTGAGTCTTACTGTTCTGCATGAATGCCGTGTGTGCCTCAGTTTCCCTGTGTATTGCGCCAGTGTCTATGTGGTGGGAATAAGGGTGTGTGACTTTTGCGGGGGTTGCTCCAGCTGCCTGCACAGACGCTGCGCTGAGGGAGAACCAGAGCCCTGGCTCTGGGCTCCCATGCCCCCAAGATGACTTTGCTGAAAGCCTCTGATTTCTGTGCTAACAAGTTCTGTCTACGCTGTGTTCCTGTCAACTAATAAACCTTCTGTTTTACCGGCTGGCTGAGAGTCGGGGGCAGGGCCCTCTGGCTTCCCGCAGCGAGTCCTCATCTGGTGCAGCCACAGCAGGGCACGTGAGCCACGTACACAATGAAGCGCCGCCCAAATAGATCTGGCTGCAGCCTTTAGGAGCCCACTCCATGGCCAGGCATTCCTTCTCTAGGGCCGCATAGCTGTATGCTCCGAGGTCAGACCCAGGAAGGTGGAAGCTGTGTAAGCTTCTTGCCCTGGAGACAGTCTGCTCCGAGAGAGGAGGCTCCCCAGAGTCCTGACTGGCTTCGTAGGGAGCAGTTCCAGAGCATCGCCCGGGGACTCCGTGACCTCTGGTCTCTTGGATGGTTCACCAGGCTGTGAACTTGCTTCATTCTGAGCCCCTCCCTGCGTGACACCTGCCACAGCTTCTGGGGCTCAGGGTAAACCTGGCCTGGCTGCTCTCAGGGCTGGGCTTTCCTGGGCGGTGACGTTCTCTGCCTGCGGTGGGAAGAGCCCATGCAGATGATCCTCTGTAGCTAGCACTGGAGGCAGAACTGGCCAACCGCTGGTCTCTGCCCGCTGCGTTGACTCTTAGGGTGACACTTTGGACGAAGCTTGCTGGCCCTCCCAGCCGCAAGAGAAATGCAGTGTGTGCGGCCACCTAAAGGAGAGACGGAGGCGGGACTTCCCCCTCTCTTCTCCCCGCCTCCGTCCCCCCAAGAGCAGCATGGGACCCGGTGGATCAGGCTCAGGAAGTTGAGACCTTAACCCCTAGTGAGCCGGAGAGCTCCCTTTGTAACCTGCTGCATGGCCTTGTTCTGCTCTCTGCTGAGCTCCCGGTGGCTCTGCTCTGCAGCGTCGAGGTCTAAGCTGTGGTCCCCCAGACGGGCGACGCTTCGGCTCACTTCAGAGCTCCCGCTCTGGGACTTGACTGGCAAGGGGGTGGGATGCCTGTTCCTGCTGCTCGTGGGCCTCGGTCGCTGTGTTTCTAGGGACTGAGCAGCTGTGCAGGGAATGAGCCCGATCTCTGCCTCACTCGCTCAGCGGCCCGGCTTTACACACAGCCGACGTGTCTGGTCACGGGGCTCTCCCTGCTCGCAGCCTCGCTTCGTGGGGAGCCGAACTCTCACCGGCTGTTTGTCCTGTTTGACTCCCCAGTGACAGCCCCGATGCGGTGGAGCCGATCGCCAGCCTCCCCGGACAGGCCAGGTAGGAGTCTGTGGCTAGCGGTGCTCTGCAATCCGGACGGGGCTCCCTGCCGTGTGCCTTATCTCAAGGGACGGGGCCTGGGACTGCCCGGCTCCAGGCTGCTGGGGTCAGGGTGGGGAGCTCTTATTGGCCATTCTGTGTCCTCCATCTTGTTCTAGCCAAGGACAGCGGAGCCCCCACTGCCTCCAGGCTGGGGATGCGCATGGGGACATAGAAGAGGGTGAACTGAGAATATGCCTCCAACTGTGAGCACGCACTGGGGCACTATGGGATAGCTACCAGGCATTCCCATAATGCACCAGTTAATTCCAGCGGCAGCAGGCGTCCCCTTTCATTGGCCCTGGCCGGGCCATGGATCTCACCAGGCTACAGGCTGCCATTGTTGTCAGCAGCGCACTGGCCTGGCTTCCCTGGCCCTTGTGGAGGGAGATGTCGTGCCTGAGAAATGGGCAGTGGGAGGCGGGAGCTGGGGTGGGTTTTTAGAATAAAATCCTGCCCGTTTAAGTCTGGGGGGTCTGGGTCTGAACAAGGGCAGTGCCTTCTGCCCCATCATGCCCAGGGCCTTGCTGCCAGCAGCGATGCTCCTGGGCCTGCTGCTGGGCTTGGGGAATTGGTCCCGCTCACTGTCAGGGCGGAGGGCGACCCTCTGCGATCCCCCCCTCTGTGGGGTGGTGGCTCCCACGGACGTCCTCCATGCATTTCCTGGCACCGCTGGTCCTGCCTCCACAGCCGAAGCCGTGTAGAGCTGAGCCACAAATGTGAGGCTGGGCAGGGCCTTCTAATGAACGGGGAGATAATGGCGTGTCCAAGGGCAGAGCCCTCGCCCTGCTGAGGTGACTGGGCCGGGCTGAGCCTATCAGGGCCATGGGCTCGTCCCCAGGCAGCAGATAGAACGCCAGCCAGCCTTGCCCACTGCCCCTTGGGGACCCCAGATAAGGTGCCAGGTTGCTCCTCCCACGGGTGCTTTCAGGATCTCCAGCAGGCATCTGCTCTGGCTGAATGCTCAGCTGCCTGGGACGGAAACCTGCCCTGCCCCCGTTCAGGAAGCAAGGACAGGGTAAAAGTCCCTGAGTGTTGGCCTTGTCCCCTGGCCAGGCCGGTGCCGAGGGGAGGGGGCATGGAGCATTCACCTGGGACTCCCCCCAATCCAGGCACCTCCACGCAATAGCACGGGCTGGGCAGGAACGGCCATGGCGGTGAAAGGGGTAAACCCCCCTAGGATGGGAGAGTCAGCATTGAGCTGCCTGCACAACCCTCTGTGCTTCCCCAGAGCCTGCTTGGGGCTCTGTGGGCAGGGAGGAGAACCGCGGCTCTCCCTGTGCTGGGTGGCGTGGGGAGAGGCCCAGTCCCCGGCAGTGCCGGAGGGTTGGCTACACAGGCCTTCCCGGGAGACGGGGGACTTGGCCTTGGCATTGAGGAGGGTTAATGATGGGCAGGGCCACGCCCGGCTAGTCGCAGCCCCTTGGGCCATGTGGGGGCTCCTTCTCGGGGATCCTTGTTGCTTGACAGCTGCGCTACCCCGGGAACGCCCTGCTCGGGGACACTGGTCTGGCACCCGGGCAGCCTGTGGGTAGCCAGCCTGCAAAGCAGTGCCTGGCCTGCTGAGGGGCTGCGTGCACTGACCCAGCTCAGAGCCCTGGCTGATTTGGGGGGGGGGAGGGGCACTGGGGTGGCCTCCAGCACCACCCCCACACCTGTGTTCTTCTAGGTATGGAGTTAACAAGCTGGAGGGGATGCTCCGCCCCCTGGTGGACGAGGGGCTGAAGTGCGTGTTGATCTTTGGCGTCCCCACTAAAGTCCCCAAGGTTGGTGGGGGTGAAGGGTTATGGGGTGTTTAATGCAGAGGCACAGGTAGAACTGGGGGTGGGGTGAAGGGTTATGGGGTGTTTAATGCAGTGGCACAGGTAGAACTGGGGGGTGGGGGTGAAGGGTTATGGGGTGTTTATTGCAGAGGCACAGGTAGAACTGGGGGTGGGGGTGAAGGGTTATGGGGTGTTTAATGTAGTGGCACAGTTAGAACTGGGGGGTTGGGTGAAGGGTTATGGAGTGTTTAATGCAGATGCACAGGTAGAACTGGGGGATTGGGGTGAAGGGTTATGGGGTGTTCAATGCAGTGGCACAGGTAGAACTGGGGGTGGGGTGAAAGGTTATGCGGTGTTTAATGCAGTGGCATAGGTAGAACTGGGGGTTGGGGGTGAAGGGTTATGGGGTGTTTAATGCAGAGGCACAGGTAGAACTGGAGGTGGGGTGAAGGGTTATGGGGTGTTTAATGCAGAGGCACAGGTAGAACTGGGGGGTGGGGTGAAGGGTTGTGGGGTGTTTAATGCAGAGGCACAGGTAGAACTGGAGGTGGGGTGAA